GTCATCCTTGTTGCTGTCATCGCGGTCGGGACACTCGTAGGAAAGGTGGTCGGGGTCCTGTCAGATCCAGCACTCCCGCCATCGACCACCACCTCCTCGGCCCTTATCCCTCGTCAACCTCTTCTTGCGACGTCCTTCGTCGACCGCCCACCTCCGCTATCACCTCCGCCCAGCTTCCTGCGCCGCCCTTGCTGCTGATTCAGCTTCGTCGGTCCAGCATAGTTTGCCTAAGGAAGGAGCTCCGTGGGCTGTTTGGCCTCCTACATCGCCTCATCTTGAAGAATGTAGTTGGTGATGGAGTCCTCGTCGAGGGACTCACGCGGGCCGGGTACCATCATCATCCTCTTCATGAGGTTGTAGCCGCGTGGCAGGCCCTTGACGATGTGGGAGATGTAGGACGTCGTCGATTATTTGGCGCCCGCCATCCGCATCTCAGCCAGGATCCGCCGAGCACGGTTGCAGTAGTCCGTCACCGACTCTTGCTCGCCCATTCGAATGTGTGTCATCTTCTCCTCCAGCTGTCTGATGTACAGGTCGTCCCTGACCTGGTACGTCGACAGGATGAAGTGCCATGCCTAGTGACCAGCATCCAGTCGCTCTCGACAGCTTCTGAGCGCCAGCTGCACCACCGGCGAGCAGCACCTCGAGATGACCATGAAGGTGAGCAATTGAGCCATACAAAACTCCCCGCACAGCTCGACATCGTCCACGGGCGGAATTGGCACTGTGCCGTCGGCGAAGCCCTTCAGCCCGGCGACCTCCAGCTGAGGTTCTATCGACTCCCTCCAAGTGATGAGGTCCCGTCGACCTTGCAGCGGTGCGACAGTGATCCGGTCCGGCGAGAACTTGAAGTAGCCATACGTCGGTGCAATCCCACCTGCCGTCACATGCGTCGTCGTCGAGAGCCCTCCACTGCTTCGTAGAGGAGAGCGACGTTGACCATCGACGTCAGCACGCGAGCTGCCTACAGTCGCCGTCGACCGCTGCAGTCGTGCCTAACTCGTGTCGACGCCACCGTCGACCTTGATCACTCCTCTCTGCTTTGTGCCATTGTTGCCGCTGACTCATGCACCGCCGTCGACCTCGTCGTCGACGCCACCTTTGTTTCGCACCGGTCGAGGAGAAACAGGAGGGGAAGGGTGTTCCATCGCCGACTGCGACCGGATGCCCAACTCGACGATCAACAAGGGGATCGTCCCGTACTCGCCATCCGCGTGGTGTTTCCTCGCATCAGCCAAGCGTGCCTCCAAGGTGACCGCCACGCCCGCATTAGCTACGGGGTCGACCATGGTGACTATCGCTGCTGCCGGCCTGTGAACGACTTAGTAGGTGCAAAAGTCGGCTCCTATATGAAGGTAATCTGCGGGGCCGTCCACGCTCACCGCACCATGTGGAGATTGACTCTACAACGGTAGTGAGCTAGACTACGGGGGTTGGCACGAACTACTAGGAGTGATTGTAGCTTTGCCTAGTTCCTTAGTGCTTGCATAATCATGGGAGAAATCGGCAAGAGTTTCCATTAGCAAAGTTGGAATTACATAGTGATTGAACAAGCAAGGACAACGATGACTACATCAGGCACCTAGCAACTCTGCAGTTAGCCTGGTCGACCGACAGCACAGCATGGTCGACTGCCTGCCAGCATTGCGTAGAGGAGCCATGCCAGCACTGCAGAAAGGCGACCTGCCAACACAGCATGTCGACGGTGTACCAACCTTGCAGGAGAGCAGCTGTCCAGCGTGGCCCCGTAGAAGACAGCAGTGCGCACGCTCGCAGGTGCACGCAGACGATTGGCCCGACTTGCACCGCTGTGCGTCCGTCGGCTGTTGTCTGCGCCTGACGAGCCACATTGACTTCGGGATACCAACCCAAAGTCGCCTTCGCCATCGCGACCTCGACCACGTTCGCGAGCCTCAACAGAACTCGCCGAGCAGGTTACCCAGTCGACCTGGACAACCCCAGGTGCTCAGGTCGACCACCAAGTGCCTCTGGTCGACCACCGGGTCCCTCTGGTCGACCACCAGGTGCCCCTGGTCAACCACAGCTCCCGTCGAGCTACCCCTTAGTCGACGGACCCCTTCCGTCGACCAGAACTGTCAGCTGTTGTCGCCGAGCTCCCCTCGTCGACCGCTACTCACTTGTCAGGTCAACGGACTATTCCGTTGACCTCCCAGTCGAGCTGCAGGTCGACGGACTGCTCCGTCGACCTCCCAATCGAACTGTCCCTCCTGGTCGACGGCCCACCCATTGCCTAGACCAGTCAGTTGCAGCTGTCGAGCTCCCTGGTCGACAACAACACCACATCGGTCCACTGCACCTCGACGAAGCTTGTCGACCAGCTCTCCCACTACGAACGGTCGGCTGCTACTCCCGCAAATGAACAAACAAGCAAGATATAGGTCATCTTTAACCCAAAACATAGGACAAAAGGAATACACCTAGACTAGAACAATACAAACTATATAATTATAGTTTGACACGACAGGAGAATGCCCTCGTCTCGACAGAACTCTGCAAGGAGGCCGGAAGAGAACTCATCGCCCCTGTCAGAGTGCAGAAGCAGGACCGGAAGGTCCCGCCGAAACCGCTCGCGCAGGTGGCGACGAGCGCGGATCCAGGGGATCAAAACATCGCGGACGTCCGCCTTGCTGCGCAAGGGGAAGACTGTGGTGTAGCGCCTGTAGTCGTCAACGACCAGCAGGAAGTAGCGCTCCTGGTTCGTCCCACAGACGGGGGCTGGGCCCCACACGTCCATGTGGAGAGCCTGCAGAGGAGCAGTGTTCGGAGGACACGAGGAGGAGTGAGGAGCGGCGCGCTGACGCCCCTCGACGCAGGGAAGGCACGGTGGGGCAGGCGAGCGCGGGAGGGGGGGCAGGGACCTGGGAAGGCCAGAGACAAGGAGACGGGAGTGCATGCTGCGGAGATGCGGCAGAGAGGGGTGACCGAGTCGGTGGTGCCAGAGAAGAGTCTGGTGGGAGAGTACCCGACACGAGCACGATGCAGCAAACTGACGAGACGCAGACACCTGACTTGACGCAACCACCTGACCTGACGCAGCCACCTATGCAGACGCAGTGGTCAGGGTGTACAGACTCGACCCAGGCTGCCGAGTGAACGTAGCAAGGTGACGTCCAGTCCGGGAGCATGTACAGATCGCCATACGCTGCCCTCCAGGGATAAAGGTATCAACCCAAACATCCTGAAGGACTGCGTTGCTCACCAAGTTCGTCTAGAACGCGGGGAGGTGGAGGCCTGAAACAGAGCCGGAGGGGGCTGCCGGACACGGGAGGACAGTGGAGGCTCGTGCAACGACGGCCCCCCCAGAGGGGTCAGCCAGTGAGACTGGGACCGGTGCAGCGAGTGGTGTGACTGTGGTGCAATCACGAAAGAAGCAACGAGACTCACCAGAGTCAAGTGTGAAAGTGTGCAGGGCCTCAGCTGAGGCAGCTGACTCACTAGTGGCAGACTCACTGGCACCTAGAGCGGCAGCAGACTCAATAGCACCTTGAGCAGCAGCACCGACACTACCAGAGACGCGTCGCTGACACTGCTGCCGCTGCTGTCCAGTACCTCTAGCACGCAGTTAATCCCAAGCTCCAGGACCAGAGCGGCCTCGCCGAATAACCCATTCGCATAGCTGCTGCGGCGATAGAGTCTCTGACTGACGCAGCTGCTGCTGTCCTCCCCTAGACGCTGCTAAGACAGCGATAGAGGCCATGACAGGCAGAGGCAGTCAGGAGCAGCGGCGTAAAGGTGTCAGAAGCGACTACTGTAGTTGCAGCTGTAGCAGTAGTGGTAGTCACTGTAGTGGCTGCAGGGCAGAGCAGCGCGCGGGCTGCAGGGCGTGCGGGTAGCAGGGCAGGGCAGGGCAGCGCACGGGCTGCAGGGCAGGGCAGCGCACAGGCTGCAGGGCAGGGCGGCACGCAAGCTGCAGGGCAGGGTGACGCGCGGGCTGCAGGGCAGGGCGACGTGCGGGCTGCAGGGCAGGGCGACGCACGGGCTGCAGGGCAGGGCGACGCGCGGGCAGAGCGCAGGGCAGGGCAGCGCGCTGTAAGCAGGGCAGCGCACGGCGAGCAGGGCAGCGCACGACGAGCAGGGCAGCGCACGACGGCAGCAGCTCCTGGGGCAGTACGTACGGTTGGTGGGCCCTAACGGAGCGGTCCTACGGAGGGACCTGCTCTGAAATCATGTTAAGAGAATTGTGCAGGGATGGATGATCTATGCAAGAGTGAGATACTAGTAAACCCTAAATGGGGTTGTACTCTATACTGAGCACCTCAGTGTAGCCTAGTAGAACTAATAACATAGAAATATGTTTTAACACCTGACTATTGTAAAAATTGAGTGGGATGGGTGAACAAAATTTTGGGGGGGAGGGGCAAAATCTGGCTTAGCAGGTTGAAAGAACATCCCGTAACGGGTTACAGGGGCATCAAAGGTAACCTTTGAGATGCCTACCCAGGTGAATGTTCTCCGTGGTTTAAAAGGCCCCAAAAAGAACTTACAAGTATGGAGGTTGAGTCATTGTTTACAACTGTCAATCACATAATTGCTTCACTTTTTAGGCGAGAGTTATACGTTGTGGTTACATGAGATGTTGATGTTACAACTTCTCTTTGTCGCACAAAATCCGTGTGAAACACACCGGGCTGGATTCAAGTGCTCTATCTGAGCAGGCTGGTATGACACTCCAGCAATCTCCATGCCATGACGGCTTGCGGCTGCTCTGTCCGAGCCGCGTGACGACTATTAGGTCCCAACTTGTTTTCCCTTCAGTCTTCCCATTGTCCGCGAGAGTGTTTGATCCGAGGCGCGTGGGAGATGGCTAGCCACACCAACGGCTACTAAACCACCTCAGTATTTTGCAGCATTTCCGTCCGATATTATCGAAAATGGTCGGCGGAAATTGCGCCATCCGAGCCGCGTGGGTGGCGGCTCACCACTGAAAGACTAGTACTGAACCCCTCGTTGACCCCCGTGTCGGTCGGAGATTTTTGAAAATGGACGGCGGAGATTGCGCCATCCGGGCCGTGTGGGTGGTGGCGCACCACCAAGCGTACGGCGTCTCGTCCGCTGGTTCTTCCGACCCCACCTGCAGCATCCTCTTCTCTCGGTGAGCGACCAATGATTCGCCACGTAGCAGTAGGTTGTCACGTGGCAGCAAATCGAACACATGGTGCCTTTGAGTCCTTGCGTTGGAAGGTCTAGTTCGTTCTCTTCACACCCCTTCATATCAATCCTGCATCCCTCTTCTTCTCAACTGTCCGCCTGCTGACGTAGCGATCCATCTGCTCACGTGTCTATGGTCCATCCACAGCCGATTCCCGACAGTGGACCGCCAGTGGCGTCTGCTCTGTGTCACGTCACCTGCTTCTACGGAACATGCCACAGTAAGTAATACAGCATGTCTACAGTATGTGATACAGCATGTTTACAGTACGTGATACGGTACAGTTCGTGGGGCTGGGGAAACTGGGGGAACTGGGAGGGCTGGAGGGGGAACGGTGAAGCTGGGGAATCTGGGGGGACTGGGAGGGCTGGAGAGGGAACGGTGAAGCTGGGGAAGCTGATGGGACTGGGATGGCTGGAGGGGGAACGGTGAAGCTGGGGAAGCTGAGGGGACTGGGAGGGCTGGAGGGGGAACGGTGAAGCTGGAGAAGCTGGGGGGACTGGGAGGGCTGGGGGAACTGGTGGGTCTGGATGAACTGGTTGGGCCAGGCAAGGCCGAGAAGTAGCTTGTTTGGCTCCGGTGACCGGCTCTTCTTAATCACCATAGTGTCCCCTTCGCCCCCCGCAACTCTCAGCCTTCCTAATCCCCACCTGCCCACGCGCCCCCTTTCAGAGTTCCGCTGGCCTACGGGCAGCGCCAGGCAAGCCCGATCAGGCATTCCCCCCTGCCCCGGTGAACCCTGCCCCCCCCCAACCACTGAAGTTTCCTCTTGGACTTGCCAACCCCTCCAACCTCCTACCACCCGCTCACCAGCAGGGTTCTGCTGGCCTACCAGCAGCCTCAGGCAAGCCTGGGAAGGCACCTCCCCCGGTGACGTACCGCCCGATTCCTCTGGATGATGAGATCAGCATCGCCTTCGCACAGCACATGCAGCGGTGAGCGTGGTGGTGAGAGCAGCGGTGGAGGCAGCAGTGGGGGTAGCAGCGAGAGCAGCAGCGAGAGCAGAAGGTTTCTGGTTGGCTTTCGCCTCCACCAATCTGCGTGGGAGGGCGGAAATGCTGGTGTCTTCCGCGCTGAAGAGGAAGAGGACTGTGGTGATGTGGGGGTGTGGGCGGATGCCGCGCCGCCATTGACACCTGGTAGCTTGGGTAGCGTTCCACGGCTGCAGGTGCGGCTGTTTTCGAGGGAAGTTCACCACGTTGAAGGAGCTGAAGATGTCCAGCTGAAGGGCCAGCTGTGCGTGCAGCATGAATTATCTCCTCTGCTCTGCCTGGGGGGTCGCCACCTACCTCGAACTGCAGGGGGGGAAGTGGCGCCGGGCGAATGGGGCTGCGAGGAGAAGCGTGACCTTGGCGGTTAGCCTATGGAGAACTTTGTGTACCACTATGGGACGCGTGCCACCTTCCGGTTTGGCAAAAGCCAACATGCGGGAGGCAGTGAGCACGTCCGCCTCGGGGCGGCTAATCTTGTCTGCCAAAGCCGTATTAGCTAACGGTAGCAAGTGGCCCCCTCTGCCCCCCGTTGCCTATCCCATCCCCATTTTTGTCCTTTTCCCCCTCTCTACTCTCATCCCCCCCACTTCACTTATCCCCAATTCCCTTTCCTCTCTTCTCCACCAGCCTCAACTCCTCTCCAGCCATTCGCAGTGCGACATCTGCCATCGGCACGGACGAGTGGTTGCGCAGCCCACTTGTCCGTATGTCATCCCCCATCTCTATGCTCTTCTTTCAGTATTATCCGCTCACCCCAATCGTCTTCCTTTCCCCACACTTCGTTCTCCTCTTCTTCCTTCCCCTCCCTCTCTCCATCCCCGTCCTCTTACCCCTCATCAGCCTCGTCTCCTCTCCAGCCATTCGCAGCGCGACATCTGTCATCGGCACGGACGAGTGGCTGGACGACCCCGTCACACGCCACGTCATCGGGCTGCGCCTCGTCAGCACCACTCCCACCCTCCCCGCCTCCCACTCGCGCACCCACACTCAATCTCGCACTCGAGTAGCAGCAGGGGAGACAAGAGCACAGAATGCAGGAGGAGCAGCAGCAGTAGCACGTGCAGGAGAAACAGATGAAGGCAGTGGCGCAACCGAGACACGACCGTCTGCAGCAGCAGAAACATCAGAAGCAGGGGGGAATGTTGGTGGTGGTGGTCCATCAGAATCGCGACTTGCGAAAGGCACACCTGAAGAAACACCTGAAAAATCACCCGAAGAAACTCCTGAGAGATTAACAGGCCGGCCAGCCCCCCCCGCCTCCCCCTCCTCCCCCTCAACCCCCTCCTCCCCTCCCCCTCCTCCCCCGCCTCCCTCCGCCCCCACGCTCCTCTGGCCAATCATAGTGCACCCCCATTCCAAAGCCTCCAACGTGCACGTTCTTGTTCTGCCATTGGTGGCGCCCTGCCACGTGGCAGCATATGAGAGGCTGTGCTGGCAACGTAATTGCGGGGGAGGGGCGGGGCTGGCGCACGGGGGAGGGAGCTGGGGAGGGGGAGGGGTGGGTGGTTCTGGTGGCGGTAGTTCTGGTGCAGGTGGTTCCAGTGGAGCCACGCTGTCTGCTCTGTTTGCTGACCTGCCTGCCGTGACAGCGTGAGTGCATGCATGGCAATCCCCTTTGCTGCTCTTTGTCAAGTAGCCCTTCCTCTTCTTGTAGGAAGGGGGTGGTGGTACTGGTTCAGGTGGTTCCAGTGGAGCTACGCTGACTTCTCTCCTTGCTGACCTGCCTGACGTGACAGCATGAGTGAGTGAGCAAGTCGCTTTGCTTCTTCTTTTCTAGTAGCCCTTCCTCTTCTTGTGCGAAGGGGGAGGGGGTGGGTAGTGCTTGTGAAGATAGTTTTAGTGGGCCACGCTGCCCGTCCCTCCTTGCAGACCTACCTTCTTTCGTGCAAGTTCGCCTTCCTCCCCTCCCCTTCCACCCATTACCATTACTAAGAAAGCCCCATTTGTGGTGCAAAATCCTCGTTTCATAACCTCTCTCCTTCCCTGTCTCTCCCAACACCCTTCCCTGCGTTACTCACATGTCTCAGAGCCATGTCCCTCACTCAGTGCATCGAATCCTGAATCCCTCCTCTCTACTGCTGACTCTACCACCACCCCCACCGGCCTTCCTCCACTGCTCTCAACGCCACTTCTCACCCTTGCTTCCTTCCCCCTTCACTCCCCCTCTCCCTTCCCTCAGGGCCATCTCTCTCGCTCAGTGCATCGAGTCCCTCATCTCAACAGACTCATCTGCCACCCCCACCGTGCCCCCTCGCACCTCCCCTCTCCTCTCCGCCCCCTCCCCCTCCTCCTCCACCCTCCCCTCCATCTCCCTCACTGGGGGAGGCGGAGGAGGAGGGATGGGAGGGGTGGGTGTTGGTGTGAAGGTTGGTGCTTTGGGCACAAGCACAATTGGCAGCAGTACCAGCAGTGCCGCTGCTGCTGCTGCTGCTGCCGCTGGTTCTGGAGGGGAAATGGGGGTTGGAGGAGGGGGAGGGGCAGGGGGGAAAGGAGGGGCAGCAGCAGGAGGGAGCGGCTTAGGGTTTGGATTGCTGGGGGCGATAGGAGCCTCTATGGGCATGTCCCGAGCCAAGACCGCTCAAACCAGCCAGCTTGGTTCGGCGGCAGGCTTGGCTGGAGGCTTGGGAGGAGGGGATGTGGGGAGGCAGGGTGGAGGGGGTGGGGGTGGCGTGATGCTGCAGCAGCTGAAAGCGGCTGAGCTGGAGGGTATCAGACTGCTCATCTCAACGTATCTCCCCTTTGGTAAGAAATGCGCTTTCTGCTGGTTCTGGATACCAATGCCATTGAAACGAGGGTTGGGGAAGTGGAAGGGCCGGTGTGGGTTGGGGAAGTGGAAGGGCCGGTGTGGGTTGGGGAAGTGGAAGGGCTGGTGTGGGTTGGGGAAGTGGAAGGGCCGGTGTGGGTTGGGGAAGTGGAAGGGCCGGTGTGGGTTGGGGAAGTGGAAGGGCCGGTGTGGGTTGGGGAAGTGGAAGGGCTGGTGTGGGTTGGGGAAGTGATAGGGCGGCCGCTGAATTTGTGTCGGGGAGCTTCCTGTAAATCAAACCCCTTTCCCCAACCCCCATCTCTTAAATGGCCTTGCTTGCGTGCAGGTCGACCTGTCGACTTCCCCACCCCTGCCACCATCACCACCCTCCGCACACAACCTGCTGCCTACTCCCAAGACCTCTCGCCCTACCTGCACCCGCCTTCCTCCCCCTCCTCCTCCCTTTATTCTAGCAAGCCCACCAGCCAAACACACCAGCAGCAGCAAGCAGGAAGAGCGGGAGGAGCAGAGCCAACCCTCAAAGGCCTCGGAGGAACTTTAGGCGCGTCAGTAGACTCTCTAAGAGACACATTCAGGCAGCCGGTGGGGAAACCAGTGCTTTACACCGGAAAACAGAGGGTATCCGTGGCAGTGGTGGAGGAAGTGAGTGCAGCTTTGTACGACAGGGAGGGGGAGGTGGCAGATGTGGTGAATGTAACCGGTAGGGTTACCACACGGTGGGAGGTGGAGGGTCTGCCAGATGTCACGCTCTCATTGGACGTTCCAGAAGATGCGTGTGTGGAGTCTTTAGTCGTGCACCCATGCGCTCAGGTGAATTTCCCTGGTGGTTCTCATCTCAGGTTAGGTGAAGTTCCAGGTGAAATGTTTGCAGGTGAGTTTCAGGTGTTTCTTTACACGCGTGCTTAACTTTTCCAACTACCACTGCTGCTTCTCACCAGCCTTATTTCTCTCTCAAACGGTCCGTTGTATTGATTCAGCAGGGGTACAGACATGCGGTTTGATTCATGATACCCTTAGTCCCTTTCACCCTTTAACCCACCCCTCTGTCCCCTCTCCTTAGTGACCCTCTACCCCTCCTGCGTGTGGAGGATGTCCCCCAGGTGCAGCGGCCAAGGGTCCGCTGCCATCTAGGGGTGCGCCGCCTCAATCCCAGCCCTGGCCTTGGTGTGCACGGCGTACACCTATCTTGGTGTGCACGGCGTTCGCCTATCTTGGTGTGCACGGCGTTCGCCTATCTTGGTGTGCACGGCGTTCACCTATCTTGGTGTGCACGGCGTTCACCTATCTTGGTGTGCACGGCGTTCGCCTGGGAGCGCTGGAGGGCCTCTCACCAGTGCTGGCTGAAGTGGCAGGCCATCTTCTTGGCGGATTTTGCCAAGGGGTTGGCCCTGAAACGGTTCCTAGCTGCTGCTGTGGCCAGCAGCTTCAGGAACGCCGTCGTGGGGGGCGCGTTTGCCCCGTAGGTCTCGACGGCCAGGGCGCAGAACACCACATGTTCAGTGTGTCGGTAGTAGTCCCTCTCGTTCCGCCGCTGTGCCTCTCTTGCAGCCCAGCCTGGGGGTTTGGGGGCTGTGGGGTCCCGGTTCTGCAGCACAGGGTCAGTGATAGTTGTGTCTGTGGTCCAGGTCTCTCCACTGTCCGGGTCGCGTACAATCACATCGGCTTTCTTCGGGTCGTCTGGCAGTGAGTACGTGGCGTTCTTCAGGTATACCACCAGCTCAGCCTCCCTTTGCCATTTTAGCCACGGCGAAGGCCAGGTGGTTGTGTGTGCATATCCTGTCGGGGCCTGTGCTGCAGCGGAGTAGGTGGTTGGGTAGGCTGCAGTCGGCTACGAGTTCTCCACACTCGCACACGGTGAATACATTCTGTCGGATGCCCATGCGGAAGGCCAGGGCCGCTCGGAATTGGCCCGGTGAGAAGCAAAGGTCTGGGGTCAAAGGTAGGGTCTGCAACCACGCTCCCGGTCCCTCGCCTCTCAGGCTGACAAGGCGGAGTGTGTGACCCATTTCGGGGGCTGACTGGATTGTGCGTGACTCCTCTGTTAAGGCGTCGGCCTTTGCCGCGTGCACCTCCTGAGAGAGGGCGCATTGCAGCTGGTCATGGGACGGGGTTTGCTGCTCCTCCCGGAGGTTTTGTAGCGCCAGCGGTGGCAGGCGCCCCTCCATGTCTTGGATGGTTACCGAGTGCGCTGCAGGCGGCTGCAGGGCTTTGTTGTTGGCACCTAGCGCTGCGGTTGCTGGAAGGTCAAAGGAGCAGAGCAGTCGTAGTGCCTCTGTCGTTGATGCCAGGTAGGCCGGTGCTTCTTCTGTTGTGGGGTCTGTAAGGCCCAGCCCGCCCAGGGCGACTGGAAGAGTTGCTTGTCGGAGAAGGAAGTTGAACTTGGCTTCTCGGCGTGGCGGTTGAATGCTGGCGGCGGTCAAGGCGGTGTTCAGCAATTCGGAGCACCATGTGTGCCATTCCGAGAGAGGTAAGACGTCCGCTGGGGTAGTGCGCAGCAGGTAGCCGACTCTGCGGCTGATGCAACGAGACAGTAGCAAGAGGGCGTGTTGTGGGTGGATGGACGCCAGAGAGCCCAAGGGAGCTGCCGCGTCTGTCAGGGTACTGCGGACAAAATCAGAGCAGAAGCTCAGCGAGCCCACAGGACTTCCAAGCACCCGTACCCCCTCGTGGGTGAGGGGTAGGCCCTCGGGGAGCACGTCACCTCCAAGCGGCATGGAGGACCACACCGACGACTTGCTAAAGTTGCAGGTGAGGCCATCCTGAGCTAGTAGCGGCGTGAGCACCCTTAGCGCGCCGAGTGTCGCCGTTGCAGGTCCAATCATGGTAATGTCATCTGTGTATGTTTTTTGAGAATTCTCAAAAAACATACGTTGCATGCAGGTCCAATCATGGTAATGTCATCTGCGTATGCTCGGACCTTGACGTCAAGGTGTTCCGCTGCTGCACGTCTGAGGTGTTGCTGGATTGACGCCGCGAATAGCTGGGGTCCGAGGGGATCCCCTTGTCTTACTCCCCTCCCGCTGGTGAGAGCCGTTGAGCTTAAGCGTGGATCTAGCAGCAGCGGTGAAGGTGAAGGTGAAGGTGTAGGTGTTGCGTAGAATGAGCGCGTGAAAGGGATGAGTGGAGCTAGCAGGGAGTTGATGCGTGCGTTGAAGAACGCGCTCCTCTTTACAGAGTTGAACGCGTTCTCAAGGTCGAATTGGAGGACTAGGCTGGAGGGTTGCGCTGAGGTGAGGTCTCTGACTGCATGGATGATAAAATCTGCCCCGCCTGGGACTGCCACGCCAAATTGCTGAGGTAAGAAAAATCGTCGTGTTTCTCCTTGCAGTTCTGAGAGCGCCACTTTGGCTGCTAGCCGAAGCAGGGATTCCCCTATCGCGATAGGGCGTACCCCCCCTGTGGTTTGGCGAAGGCTATGAGGCGGGATGGTGAGAGAAGTGCTGCAACCCCAGTGGAGAGAGGAGGTGAGTTACGGCGAAATGGAGGTGCTCCAGTACCTCGATGTTACTAAAGGCTGGGTCGCGGTAGTGTTCGAAAGTTGACCCCGACGGGCCAGCCCCGATTCCGCTGTGGTATTCCCCAAGGACGTTGGAGAAACTTTCCGCGGTGTTCGAAAATTGCGTGGGTGTGGTGTAGGTGTGGACCCAGTCGGGCAGGTCAATTTGGGGTTGGGGGTGTTTCGATTCCAACTGCTGCAGTGTCGCGATTGTCGCAGGAGCTGATGGCGAGGGTTGAAGGGCTGCTAACGCCTTTCGCAGGTAGACATGAGCAAAAGGGCGAACACCTGTTCGGTTCGCCTCGAACGTGTTCGAGGCGAACCGAACAGGTTTGTTTTTTTTGCTTAAATTGTTCGCCGAACAGTGTTCGATGTTCGCCCGAACACGTTCGTGTTCGGGCCGCTGCTGCAATTTGCCCCGCGACGAACACGAACGTGTTCGATGTTCGCCCGAACATGCCTTCACAGGCGAACGGCGAACACGTGTTTTTGCTTTAAGTGTTCGCCGAACCGAACACTGTTCGGTTCGGCAAACGGATGTGTTCGTCTAGGGGCGAACACGAACATGTTCGTGTTCGCCCCTTGCTCATCCCTATTCGCAGGTTACCCCGTTTCACCAGCCCCTCCGCACGTCAGCAGATTCCCAGGGGGTCACGTTGGTGCTGAGGTGGCTCGGCTTGGTGCAGGGACCCGCCACGCTCCCACGCAGTTTGGCAGTTTGGAGATCCGTAGTAAGGCAGCCAGCATACAGGTGGAGTAGTCGCTTAGGATCTGCGGCGGAAGGCGGCGGACAATCGGCAGATGGGTGGTCGAGGTGAGAAGCGATGAGTCCCATCTCATCGCGATATTAAAGAGATCCCCCCACGAAGCCAGCTGGGTTGATATGGCTTGGTGCGGTGGGGGCTGGGTTCTGCGATGCTGACTGCAGCCAGTTCCTCTCTCCTGCTGCTGCGCTTGCTCCTCTCCTGGATCCTCTCTCCTGCTGCTGCGCCTGCTCCTCTCCTGGTTCCTCTCTCCTGCTGCTGCGCCTGCACCTCTCCTGGTTCCTCTCTCCTGCTGCTGCGCCTGCTCCTCTCCTGGTTCCTCTCTCCTGCTGCCGCGCCTGCTCCTCTCCTGGTTCCGCGCGAGGTGAGTCGGGATTGTCGGGTTCCTCAGATCTGACGGTATATAGTCGTCGTCACTCCCCTCTGTGTTGATATCTCTGATTCTCCCCGCTTGCGCTGGTGTTCCGCCTCTCGCCCCGCGCCTAGCGAACGACTGGCGCGTGACTCGTTCCGCCCGCTCCCCCAACCAGATCGGGCTCGGTGGTTGGCGGGGAGGTCCCCTTGCCGTTCGGCCTGCGCTCCTCTGTCCTCCGCATGCTCCTCGTCGCGAGCCTCTCCCCCGCGTGCTTCCCCGTCCACTCCACGGGGTGGCCGCAGCAATCGCCGCCTGTCGCGCCTGGGAGGTCGGCGTTGTCGGCTCCTCTCGTCCTGGTGTTGTGCCTTGAGCGTGGACCAGTGGATTTCCTTGGCGCTCCTGACCGCGACTGTACTGCGGAGAGAGATCCAGCTCCTCGTCCGCTCCCTCCTGCGCGTCTGGCCGCGAGCGTGCCTGTCGCTCCACTGGCGTTCGCTGATCAGATCTGGCGCCGCTTTGAGGAGCAGCGGCGCGGTCAGCCGGCGCGTGTGGGAGGGTCCCCGCCTCCGAGAGAGCTTGCTCGCGCGGAGTCCGTCGTGCGCTCCGGCGTGGAGGCTGCGGCGCACCAGGGGCGTTCTCCTCGCCGCCGTTCAACGGCGGCACGTGACGATGGGCGGGAGAGCCGCCGTGGGGATCGTCACGCTGAGCCTCGATCGCCTCGATCGCCACGTTCACCTTGTTCGCCTCGCCGCGCGGTGTCACGGAGCCGGTCACGTGACCGTCGGTCAAATCGTCACCAATCGCCTGCTCGCCGCTCTTCTCGCCATCGTTCACCAGCTCATCACACCTCTGGACATCGGTCCCCAGCAAAGCACCCGCGGCTCCACTCTCCTCGTCGCGGGGACCGCTCCCCTGACCGTCGTCGTCCTCAGGGCCCATCTCGCCAGCAGTCGCCTGAGCGCTCGAACGCAAGCGGTCGAGGGTGTCGCGGGGGGCGGGGAGGTCACGGTCGTGGCGGAACAGCGCGCCAAGCGCCGTCCGCAATGGAGCGCGTCCTGAAGAAGCTAGACGGTGTGGAGAAGGCCCTCCACCGTACGCAAGTGGGGTCGTCATCCCAGTCCGCGCCTCCAGCTGCTCCTGGCGTTCCTCTCGCTGCATTCACGCCCCACGATCCTGTGGGGTCCCCGGCGTGCTC